ACTTCAGGGATGCCTACTGCCCTCCAGCTGGGCTCGATCAAGCTAGACCAGTGTCCCCTAGATTTACGATTTCCTGAAATTTGAGAGAGAGAGACACTTCCCAAATCAGATGAGAGGAAGATGAGCCACTAATGACACTGACACTCATTTACTTCCTTTCTGAGTACCTCCTGATGTGCATCCTGCAGAACCGACTGTATGAGCCCTCTAGAACCGCCTTTCCTGTTCAAGGACTTAGGTCAGCCAGAGTCAAGGTGACAGCGACTGTGTTGGACGCAGAGGAGCCAAGTCCATTCTGAGGGAGGGTTCCAGCCAGCGGCTTCAATGACCACCCAACTTAATGCATGGCTGCTGTAAATCAGACAGATGGAAAACAACCTTCTTTGTAAATCTGCAGGGTGAGAGCTGAGGCTGCCCATGTTGTCTGTAATAGCTGTGGTCTTCTTGTGACTTTGTGTGGTCAGCAAGCACCCATCTTCTGTTTCAAGGGGCTGGCTGAGGTACAACTCCCATTCACACTGGAGTAAACTGAGAAGTTTATTCAGTACCCCCATAAAGGGTTAATACCCTAAAGGATTTCAGGAAAAGAGACTTGTTTTTCACTTTAAGAAAAAAAAAAGATAAAATTCGCATGGTTCATAATACAATAGATATCAAAGGGTGAAGAGTCTCCCATTCCTGCCTCTAGCGACAGTGCCCAGGAAGAGTGACTGTTGCTTTTATATTCTTGGGTCGCTTGGGTAGCTACAGAGGGTGCCTATGCTTATCCAAGCAAACATCTAAACATTATAAGGAGAACTTTGACTGCATGTGAATCTGAGCTTCTTTCTTCACCTAAGTGGCTGTATTTTCTGGTTTCTGAGATCTGTTCTAGAATGCCCTGGGTGGTATAAACTAACCTGAAGGTTGAAGGTTCAAATCTACTTCAAGATATCTTGAAAGAAAGGTCTGATGATCTGTGTTCAAAAGGTCAAAGCCTCTGAAAGCATATGGAGCTACCATGAGTTGGCAGCTGCTTTCCTGTTTGCTTATCTGACCCCTGTGTTTCACAGTTCTAACTTAGCCAGAGTCCCATCCCTTCCTACAGCTGCTCCCATCACTGGGCAATTTTAAGTTCAGTCAGCAGAGATGACAAGAGTGAAAGAGAGCTTACAAGCCTAAAGAACCGAAAATAATGGCCCCACAGCATAAATGAGCAAGAAACCAGCCCGAGCAGCCCTGCCTAGCCCTGGTCTCGTCCCTGGAAGAGAACTTAGGAGATGCAAGTTACATTCAGAGGTTTTTCTATTTAGAACAACTCCCACACTTCACCAAAGAGGAC